ATCAGTTCTTAGCATACAACTTTTATTTGAGTAAATTTCTGAAGCACGGTGATAGTGAATGCTGGCTTAGTTTGCTTTTTTTGCTTCCAGTCCTGTTGTTAAATGTCATCTGCCCCCTCTTCCGTTTTGGGGGTGGAATTTCTTTCCTGGGTACAGGTATCCAGGCAGTATTCACCATTGCCTCAACCTGACCTCAGCTTACAACCATTTCCTGCCCGAGAGAGGTTGCCAAGAGATTACAACCATGCCAATGGGAGTGGGAGCCACTGTGGATTATATCTTTTACTCAGCAATGCCAATCAAGAATGATCAGGAAGAATGTGAGTAGGCATCTTTCTTTCAGCAAGCATATGTATTTTCTGATAATTTTTGTTAATTCAGTGGGCCATTGAATGTATCAGTTTATGTAGGCACATGTTCTGTAATTTCAGCTTTAAAACAATGGTCCAGATTGTGTATCTTTTTTTTTTTTGCTTCTTATGGCTTTTCTTTAATGATTGTCAGACATGTTGGGAGGAGAGGGGGGAGTCAAAATTATATGCACCTCTATTTATGCAATGGAGGTTTCTCCTCCTCTCTTTTCCCAAATCCATAAGAGATGAAGAATTTACTGGTGCAAATGCTGTGAGACTAAGTGAGAGAACTTCATGAGGAAAGGGAAATTGTCCAGCACTCTGAAAAGGAACTGATCTTCCTACAGAAATGGATATTTGTTCCATGTCAAATACTAATTCCAGCTTTTCCTTAATTTATTCTGGGAAGAAATATTGACGATTATTTCTGAGCAAGGACTTGCTCATTCTTCCATTCATTTGGGGTTTAACTTGATGAGCGAGTTGAAAACAGAGTTTAAACTTAGCAGCATGGAAGCCAAGAAATTGACACACATATACAGCAGCAAGACTGGAAAGTGATTCTTATTTTGTTCTTTAAATTCTTTAAATTTAATTCTTTAATTCTTTAAATTGTGTAATTTCCCTCATTTGTTTCACTGCTCACATTCTTCTGAATGCTGAAAATGAATTATATGGACATTTGAGAACTTGCCATTGACACATGATCATGTCACATTTATAAATAATGTAGAAAAGGATATCAAGGGTCCTGGTGAATGTCTGGACTTAGAAATGTATCTATTGTAAACATTTCTTACATTGCTGTGACTGTTATTTGTATCTCTCTGCATTTCATTTACCTTCTGATTGCCTCATTACAGCTTTACTTTGTGGGGCCCTGTTTATATTTCCCATCCTGTTTTGTATTTAGATCGCAGGATGTACCAAGATGGAGCCCTAAAGCTGCTTGGCCGGCTCTCCCTTCTCTCTGAAGACATCCTTTGGTCAGCAAATGGCTTGCCAAATCCTTTCTGTTCATCTGATCATCTTTGTCTGCTGGCCAGTTTTGGGCTAGAGATTTCTGACTTCTAATCATGTGCCAGATCTTCAAGACTCTCTTAGAGTTGGCCGGAATGGGAAAATCATGCCACTGAAGTTTGCATCAGCGAGCGAAAAGAAAAAAAGGATCTTCCCCACCCTCCCCCCTTCCCTATTTTTGAGATGTCCTTGTTCTTTTCTCCCTTTTTACATGAGGAAATAATGATTTGGTTTACTCTAGAATTCTGCAATCCTAGTCTGAACTTCACTGCAACTTTATGTCCGCCTATAATCTGGCTACTGTACCATCTTAAAGGGCATCCTGCCATCCAATTGGCAGCTTTGTCTGTTTGTTCTTCCTCTGGTTTGAAAGTATGCTCACTCACCATGTTAGCAGGGCGTGTCACGGAGCATCACAAAAATCTGAACGGAGTCTTCATGTAATGTGGGCTACACACAGACACACATATACACACATACACTTGCTTTGTGCTGCAGGCAGCAAGGAATCTCTATATTGTTCACTATTGCACTCAAACCAGAGTGACAGTGGTAGAGTGATTTTAACTTTTTGAGAGCTGGTGAGCTATTGCTTTCAGTGAACCTGTTTCCACAGGTAAAATGCTTGTTGATTGACGTGTCCCTCTTGTCTGTTTGGTAATGGAATTAATTCAGCTGGCATCCCCTGACTACACAGTTACTTTTCCATAAAGATTTTCCTGGCAATTTTGTTTGCATGTCAACAAAGCTTCTTGAAAACTACTCTTTAGATTAAAAATTAATTTTATTGTCTGTTCTGAGAACACTGCATTTTATTATCAGGTTCTTCAAGAAGCTTTTTACACACTGATTCACTACTTTGGGATGCTTTTTGCTGTCTCTGGTGGCAACTAGAGTTGCAAATAAGGATTGCCAAAACTAACAGAAAATGACAGATGCTTTAAAAAAAAATGGAAGCCACGTTGTTGGGAACTCTAAGTGGGCCTGACAGTTGCTGCTCATTTTTAAAAAAAACATATTAACAGAATGTTAAATGAATATGTGATTCGGAGTAATGGTTGGTCTGTAAATAACTCCCATTCTTGATATATAGAAAATTTATTATGGTATGCACAGGCTGTGCACCACATTGTATTGGGAAAAATGCATTGGGAGCTTTCCGTATTTTAAATGTTTTCTTAAATTTGAAAGAAAAATAAATACTTTTTTCTAATTTCAGAAAAGTTGTAAATTCAGTCGGTTGAGTCTAGAAAAAGAGTGAACTGAAGCCCTTTTCGTGTGAGGCTTTGGTAATGCCCTCTCGTGGATGTTGTCGGCTACACTTAGAATGTGTTGCTCAACAAAGATGCTAGAAAAGATGAATACTGGACCTCGCTAATTTTCAGATTCTTTCTCTTACAGGAGCACATAGAAAGAAAATTAGTCTCTGCAGATAAATTTCTGAGTGATTATAAGAGTCTTACTTCTAACTTAAGTTTTTCAGTTGGAAAAAGTATTGTTCATTATAGCAATATCACTTACTTTTATACCACTTTACAGTGCTTTATAGCCCTCTCTTAAGCGGTTGACAGAGTCATCATATTGCCCCCTACAATCTGGGTGCTCATTTTACCAACCTCAGAAGGATGGAAGGCTGAATCAACCTTCAGCCTGGTGAGATTTGAACTGCCAAATTGCAGGCAGCTGGCAGTCAACAGAAGTAGCCTGCAGTACTCACTCTAACTACTGTGTCATTGAGGCTCATATATTATAATTCTTACTAAGATTCTTAACTGCATTTTGTTGATTTTTGTGCTCTTCTGCAGGTTGATTTGAAAATTTTTAGGTTAGAATTCCAGATCTGTAACAATTTGCATGTAGACTCAAGCTACAAGAGGTAATGGTCAACCCTGTTACACAGCTAGGTACTTCAGGTACCTTGTTTTTTTCGCCAAGCTATAATTGGAGGGTCCTGATGTTCTGCATAAACTCGACTGATAGGTATATAGGTGTATAAATGTTCATCTTAGAGCCACATGCAATTCCAAGATTGCATCAAAACTTTGGTTATCAGAAGAGAGAAGGAATTTTTCTTAGTTTTAAGGGAAAAAGTCAGGTAAACTTACTTTAATCAAAATAACCCCCCAGCCAAATTTGGTTGAAAATCCTAACTCCATTCCCTCTGCTCTCTATGACATATGCTTTCAGCCATAGGTATAGCTTCTTTCTGCAAAATGTTTCTGTACTGATAATGTTTTTGTACTAATACTTAAGAGTCAAAGAAACTTTTAACTCTGCAATCTTGTACTTACTACTTGGGAATAAACCCCATTGTTCTCAAGATAACTTCTGAGACCCAAATATGAGAAATCTGCCGGATTGGATGCTTTCATCAACATAAAAGCAGCAATGCACTATAACCCCTGCCCCTTTTGTACATGCACATATCCCAACATGCATATAAAAAAGGAGTTTGTGTCACAATGACATAAAACAGCTTTTATTAATTTGTCCTCCCTTGACGCCCCATCTCCTGCAGACCGGCCTAGGCAAATAACTTTCTTTGTTGCCAAGAAAATTATATGGACTGTCCACCTTGTCACTGAAAGGTGGTACTTATTTCCATTTCCACTAACAAATGCTTTGTTTATTTTATGCTGCATACTCACTGTATGGTAAACAGATGAAGGATTACATAATTGGTTTCATTTGATGGATTATATATTTGAAAAAAATAATCTAAATTTTAATAAGTTCAGAGACTTTTCAGATAGCTTTTTTAGCTTAACCACCAACAAAATTTCTCACCTATCAAGGTTTTCTGATCTCTTCTTAAGTAACATTTAGCTCAGGTCATACACTACAGATGAGATCTAACATTATTCTAAAGCAGCATTAACAGAATAAAAAGTGTTTTGATTTGGAAAGAATGGATCCCATTCTTGCTGCTGATTTTCTCACATCTGCTACATCCATGTACCAGTTGGTACACAAGATATAAAACATAATGAGCAGAAACCTGTAGTGTCACAGGAACCACGACACTTTACATGAATGTGGAAAAGCGAGATCCTAATCGAGGACTTTGTTTTAATTTCATTAATTTGTTTAAGATGTAATTTCTTTTAAGACTTTAAAATGAGTGTTGGTCACTTGAAAAAAAAGTGGTTGGGGGAAGGATTTTATGAAAACAATGTGAAGAACTAGGAAAACTTCTTGGATGTAATAATGGAAGGCCATAATCTGACAAATCTCAATATATTTCAATTGTAGAAACTAATATAGTAATCTCTTCTCTTCATGAAGGTCTGTAGTAATCCTGAGTATAAATGATTGTCGTGCTTAAGTATTGTCATTTAGAGCATGCTAGAAAGGTAATAGGATATATGCCACCTCTTTACTGGAAATAATTCTGTCTTGGAATATTGTTAGGAGCCTTTCTCTGCTTAAAAACAGCTCATTGCAATTTTGGCAGTACAGAATAATCATTCTAGAATTGGTGGTTGCAATATTAGATATGTATTGTCCCTGATCAGGCCATTCCTGGAAGTCTGATGTCACAATGTACTCAAAGATGTTACTTTTTATTTGGGGAGAAGTCTTACTCATTAATGACATCAATAAACAATTGTTTTATGACTCACAAGATTAAAAAATATGCAGAAACAAACTTTAATTCTGAACAAGAATTGGGATAAGGAATACAAAATTGAAGGATAACAAGAACTAAATCTATACAGGTTCAGTATCAGTGGTATAAGAACACAGAACCAGGAGGTGGGGGTGGTTCACAAAAGATACACAAACATGATCATCCATAAAGAAACAAAACTGTACTTTGCTGTCATGACAACAGACATGAAAACAAAATTAACTGCTAAAATGTGATAAATACTGATTGTCTTAAAAGCAATGCCCTCATTTCCTTTGGAACCATCTGACAAAATTGGAGGATCTCTACACTACAAGCAATCAGAATTGTTTGAGGCAGGTGGTTAGCATATCATGCCAAGAGTGGTTTGTAGATAATAAGACATCTGTTGCTGAGATCATGCTTCATTCAGATTTCCCTAAGGAGCCTAGCTAAAATCACTTTCTGGCCAATTAACAGGATAGGTCCAGCAGTCTGTGACAAAAGAACTGCACTGGAAATTCCTTGCACACATTTTCAAGATAAAGTATATTTCTGCACAGAGCCCTAAAGCTAACTCTTGATTTGTTTTATGGCCAACCTGTCCTTAACATAAGGCAGGCATGAACTACGTTCTAGGGACCTCTTCAGTGACTAGAAGTTTCTTAGTAAGAAATCAGTAATGGCACACACAATCACAACTGTACATTTCTTTTGCATTCACCAGCCTCTGAGAACTGCTGGATTGTTCATCAAAAGCAGCTCCCCCGTTACAAGAATATGCACATATTGACCTGTATGCAAAAACTGCTTTCAAGACAGCAGGAATCAGGATTTCAAGAATTAGTGATGTAGAATTAGTGGGTGATCACATTAGATGCTATCATATCTATTGATTTGTGATACAAAAGTAACAGCCAGGCTAATTGGAGCCTGAAGAATAAAGACACTGATGCTTTGTACATTATCCAGTGTATAAACATTGAAAATGGATATCACAACACAGAGACATAACCAACCAGTCACAAGATTTGGAAGGGCAGAACTTCAGCTAAGGCTTTCAGCAAATATTGTTGCTATGTGATCATAAAACAGATCTAATACTGACAAGTATTGTGCAAACTAATTTAAATACTATATGTTGGGTCTGGATAGCAGCAATTATGCATAAATTAAAAATATCAGTGCATATGAGAAGAGAACACTATAGTAACATCATTCTGCTGTAGCATTTCCCATAAATTGTTCTATATTTTTTTTAGTTCTGCCCTGCTACAGCAAACATGACCTCTTCCCTTCCGTTCAGGGCTTAGGGAGAAGTTTTCAATTCTTCTCAAGTCTCAGTCCCACCTCAGGATTGTATTCTTTTCTCACAACACTGTACAGTTGCTTTCATCACTTCTACAACTGATGATTCCAAACACAGATAGTCCACAACTTATTACTATAATTGGGACCAGTACTTCCGCTGCTAATTGCAGTGGTCAAGTGAATTATGCCTGGTTTTATGCCAGGTTTTTTTGCTATGGTCATTAAGTGTATCACCCAGTCATTAAGCAAATCTGCCTTCACACAATGACTACACTTATCAGAAGCTGGCTGGGAAGGTCACAAATGACGATCATATGATAACTGCAACCGTATGTAAATACATACAATGCCAGTTGCCAAGCACCAGAATTTTGATGACATGATCATGGAGCCCTATGACGGTCATGTAGGGATTGGTCATAAGTCAATTTTTTCAGCGACTTTGAAGGTCGCTAAGTGAATGGTTAAGTTGACTACCTGTAAGCGCACAAATTCACACAGCTAAATAGAGTGTATCAGTGACGAGCCCACAATTTTATAGGATGAAGCCTTAGTGGGGGATATGTCAAATATTTGATTCACCCTAGCACCAGTCTTTAAGCTGCATCTTCAGGCTGAAAGTGGTGGAGAGGAATACACCTTGTTGCTGCGTGCTGTCCAGAGTAAGGATAGGCAACATTTACCTTAGTAAGCTCATTTATAAATGAAAAGCATTCTGTATGAGTTCAACACCACCCTAATCACTATAAAGCAGCTGCAACTCAATCTTTTAATATTTACTACTTAATGCTTTACGGGAAGTCACCTAGCATTAACAAAATGCAACTACCTATAAACTCCTTCACGATTATACTTTAACATGTTTAGTCGTACCTATTCAAGATACTTTGGTTGTAGCTTAGTTCTGCTTATTTGCATGGATGGGTCATGAATTGAAGTTTAGTCCATCACTGTTGCCAGTTTTGTGAGACGTATATGTTATTTGTCAGGCAAAAGGAACCCCCAACAGAAGACGTAGAACAGTACAGAACTTTAGTCCCCCAGCTACTGTTGAACTATTTAAAAACATTAACACTATTTTAATAGGACAAAGCCCTTCCATGATGGCATACAAGATACACATCTACTACACAAACATAATCAAATACCACTGATTACAGATTAAATCACCAGGCCTCAAAAGTGAAAGCCAGCAAAATAAATTATTTTCAGCACTATCTTGAATATATGCAATTAAAAGGCCTGAGGATTCCCTAATGGAAACTCATTGGAAAGGTCAAGACCACTCTTCTAAAGGCCCTGCCCTATGTGGATGTACTGAGAGTGTGATGAGTTGATACACATGGAGGCAGGCTTTCAAGTAATTTGAGGCCAAGCCATTTAAGGCTTTAATGGTTATATTCAGACCTAAAACTGGTCTCAGAAACATACTGACAAATGCACTGTTCACCATTCAACTCCCAGGACAGCTGAATGGCCATAACCTGCATGTTTTCAATATACAAAGGCAGCCCCAGAGACAGGAGATGGCAAGAAGGTGACAGCAGGGAGAAAGTAGGACTTCTTAATTCCTTTTTTGCATCTGTCATGCAACAGAAAAAATGATCCAACCTACCAAAAGCAGCACCGTGGGAGACAGAACAGGAATGAAGGTCAAAGTATGCATGAAATTGGTAAGAAAACACCTAGATGAGTTCAAATCGCCAAGGCTATAAGGTTTACATCCCAGGATTGTGAAGGAGCTGGAAGATGTGATCCTGGAACTACAGAGCAAAATCTTTCACAATTCCTAGAGTACAGGGGAACTACCCAGAGAACGGGGGGGGAGGGCAGGGGGGGGAACTGATGTGGTTCCAATCTACAAAAGGCGGGGGGGAGTAGATCCAGAAAAGTACAGACCAATCAGCTTGACATCAATGCCTGGGAAAATCCTGGAAAAGATAATCAAGCAGTAGGTTTGAGAGCATCTAGAAATAAACAAGCCATTACCAGAAACCAGCATAGGTTTGTTAAGTTTGCAAGACAAACTTATTCTCTTCTTTGATAAAGTCAGTAAGTTTGTGTATCAGGGAAATGCTGTATAATATTCTTAGACCTCAGTAAAGCATTTGACACAAAAGACCATAATCTACTTCTTAGAATAGTTCTAAGATAGAACAACGTGGGATAGACAGTACTACCACCAGATGAACTCACAGTTGGCTGATCAACTGCCCTCAATATGTAGTCCTCAACGCAACTATATCTACTTGGAGGGAAGCATGCTCTGTGGTACCTCAAGGTTCTATCTGGGTTCAGTGCTCTTCAACATTTTCATAAATGATCTAGATGAGGGGATAGAGGGAGAGTTCATCTAATTTGCAGATGATATCAAGCTGGGACGAATTGCTAACACTTTGGAAGATAGAAATTGTCAGAAGGATCTTCACAGCGCCTCACAGCATTGGGTCTTATCCAACAAGATGTTGTTCAGTGGTGAGAAAAGTAAGGTTTTGCACCTAGGCAGGAAATATCAAATGCACAAATATAAAATAGACAATACCTGGCTATTCTATATCATTAACCATGAGATGGATCTAGGTGTCCTAGTGAATCACCACTTAAGTATGTTCCAGTAGTGTGCTGCAGCTGCCAAAAAAGCCACTGCAGTTCTAGGCTGCATTAACATCAAGATCATGAGAAGTGAAAGTACTGCTTGATATGCACTAGTGAGGCCACACTTGAAATACTTAATCCAATTCTGGTCATCGGGATACAAAAACAATGTTGAGACCCTAGTAAAAGTACAGACAAGAGCAATTAAGATGAGAAGGAGTCTATAGGATAAATCATACGAGGAACTGTTAAGGGAACTGTAAAGGATATGTCTAGTTTAACCAAAATAAGAATTAGGGATGACATGATACCTGTTTTCGGATACATGAGGGGCTGTCACAAAGAAGTGGGGGTCAACTTATTCTCTAAAGCTTCAGAGGATAGGCCAGAAAGCAATGGGTAAGCTTGCTAAAGAGAGATCCAACTTGGAACCAAAGAGAAACTTCTGGATAGTGAGAACAATTAGCCAATGAAACAGCTTGCCACCCAGTTATGGGTGCACCATCACTGGAGGTTTTCAAGAAAGGATTGGACAACTATTTGTATGGCATGATATAAGGTTTCTTGGCATGGGCAGAAGGACTGGAAGTCCTTCTTGAAGTCCTTCAAGAGGCCTTCCAGCCCTATGATTCTAAATGTCACTAATACATGAACTGTCAAGCTAAGATTCATTTCTTCCAGAAAGTGTCACAACTGGCATAGCACTTTCAGCTCATACAAATTATTTCCAGGCATAGAAGTCACCTTAAGTTCCCCACTTAGCTACAATTCCCGAAGTGCTCATTTCGACCTGTCTGGAAAAGCAGCCTCATCTAACACTAAACATAATGATCTAACCAGACTGGCCAGCTAGCTACTTTTCATCCTCAGCAACCTCTAATCTTGCCTTGTCAAGATTAAGTTTCATTTTCTAAACTCTCGCCCATCCCAAGGGGTCTCCAGACATCTGTTCAAGCAGTCTAGTGTCTCTCTAGAGGAAAATAATAAGTGGATCTTATAAACCTCAGCTCAAACACTGAATGACTCCTTGGTGGACTTATCTGTGAAATGTTGACTTCCACCCGCTCCTCTTCAGTTCTGCAGTTAATACAAATAAAGTCAGCAAGCTCTTTTAGAATTTGACAGGAGATAAAGAAACCTTTCCTATTCTTTGACTTAACATTCACCAGAAGCTCCAAAGACTGTAGGCAAGTATGCAGAATTACTGAGGCTGGGAGACAAACCAGAAGGGGAAACATTATTCAGTTAAATTTTTCACTGTTATAGCATCTTCAGAAAATAATGTTCCGTTTTCTCATCTTTAAAACTTGTAATGCTCAAAACTGGATTTTTTGGATGAACCTAGATTTTCGGACAGTGAACTGGCAGAAGTCAATATTAGATCCTATCACACAGACCCTAATTTACTAGATAGCGCTTTATCATGTCAAAAGATTCTACCAGTTCTTAACTTCCTATCCTCTTCATTCTAAGAAGAACTAGAAAGATAAATAATTCCCAACCACTAACAATGCTGATTGTAGCTGATAGGCACTGGAGTCATCAGCTGGAGACTCAAGGCTTCTCAGCCTAAAGAACCTTGAGGCTCTTCTGTGTGCATGGATTGCTCTGATCTGATCTCACTACCTCTCTTCCATACTGCTGTGGGGTTTGCATAAGGCATTACAAGTCAAACTAGAAGTTGTTCTAAAAGTTTGGCTTCAAGTTACAGAGAGGCCAGCCTCCCATGATGGAAATTTTCCCCCTACTACTACTCAAGGGCCAGCTTGTCGACTGGGAATTCTAAGAGTTGAAGTCCACACATTTTAAAGTGATCCAGGTTGAGAAACATTGCACTAGGTATATGCAATTAAGTTATGCATCAAAATTTTTAGTTCTGCTTTGAATCCCTAAAATTTCTCAACTAAATTTTTCTCTATCAGTTCCAACTCAGGGACACATCCAGTTACAGACTGGTCAAAGGATGTAAGTTCAGTTGTATGTTTTATTTATTTTCACCTTCCTATTATTATTTACAACTGAAATATTTTGAATGCTTCAGAATGGAGCCTTTGTTCAGAGAGAACTAATGGCAGCTATCATTTCATACAAGGCCTCAACTAAACGTTGAATGCCAAAGATGTAATGCTTTCTTCCCATTTCATCTTGGAATTTGGCTCAACTTTTTCAATAAATCAAGCTTAACATTGATTTCAGTCACCACCGTATCAAGGCTTTCCCTGCTGTTGCCATTTATTTTTTAGAAGGCTTAACAGCTGCAAAATATATCAATAATGGTGACCAAATATAAAGTGAATACAACCCTGATGAGTGAGACTTTTAAAAAAGGAGGATGCTTAAGTATTTTGCACAGGCAACTGCTGATAGATTAATATACAATTTCATTAGAATCTCACTATATGTTACCTAAAAACTAGATGTGATGTTAAAAAAAATCCCACAATAAAATATTAAAGATAAATATTGTCCAATTCCTATATTTTCTCCCTTACTTTTATAAAAATGAAAAGTATTCAGACAACACTTTTCTAAATACATCTTTGTGACATGCTTGTTCTGGGCAGGAATACTTGTATATATTCTGTAGTATTATGCCATATATAATAAGATCACTAAAGTGGTTCCCATGAGGATTAATGTGATATGTAGAGAGTAAGGAATATGATTTTGACAGAGATATGCAAGTTCTGTTGCCAAAGCAGCAGTAAAACATACCTTAAGTCCATAACAAACAAAAAAATATTTAGAAGTGGCTGAAGCAGACACTTCACTAATTCACAGGAGTACAATAGACGGGGAGGAAGTACAGCACAATGAGACTTGTAAGATTCTGTAATTATAGCCAATCTCAAGAAAAGTAGTTTTAGCCCTCCTGGCCTGATCTATATGGTGGGGCTAATAGGATACTTCCACCTAGTCTTAATTACAACAAATATACGGAAGCTGGCTTGCTCTAAGTCAATGGTCTATAACAGGGGTGTCAAACTCACGTAGTCATGGTGGTGTCATGTGATGTATTGGGACTTTCCCCCCCTTCGCTAAACCAGGTGGGGGTGTGGCCAGCACGTGACGCATCCGGCCCATGGGCCGGGAGTTTGACAGCCCTGGTCTATAACATCTTTATTTTGAAGAAGGCCACTGGATCCCACACAACTCCATAAGAATATTTCATAAATAGTAATGATAGGTTAAATATTTTTCTGAAAATGTTCCCCTTTAATTAGAAAAAAAGTCTAGAGTAAAATAAAATATGAAATAATGACAGGGAATATCATCCCAGGCTCTTTTCTAGTAAATAGGCATTTTATGCTTGGCCGTATCCATATTGTAGCCATGTTGTGAATATGTATATCCTACATTGGTAGTCATTCTATGAGATCACACATGGCATGATCTCAAAATGTTATATGTACGCAACAGTTAAAAAACAGCGTGGGAATATTTCATGTATGCTTCCTTGTCACTGCCTCTAAACTATCTAATGTATTGTAGATCTCTTCCCCCTTTTTGAGCCCATATCATCCCCTTTTCCCCCTTTCTCAGTATATATAAAATGAAATACTATTCACCAGAAATGCTCTCTGCTTCTATAGGTAGAGACATGCAAGGCACATCAGAATCTTAAGTGTTTAATTCATAGCAGGTCTATTCTGCTACAAAAACATGTTTTTAAAAACCCTGAAAGATAATAAATATGTGTGACAAAGATGGTAGGGAACAATAACAATAAAATCTATTTTTCTTGCACTTATAGGAAAGCTACATCCTAAATTGGAGAACAGAGTTGGTCAAGTGTTTTAAGATCTCTCTGGGTTTCTCTCCTTACATTATAAATCATCACATCTTTCAACAATCTCTATGTACTAACTGTACAGTGTATGAGATGCTTAGCTAATAAACTATGGTTAAGTGAAGACTTAGCATCAGATTCCTTAGAGGTTTCTCAATTACTGTAGTCTAACGAGGCCTATCACATTCCTTTTCACATAACTTATTAAATACTAAATGTCCAGGTTTTCCTGCTTTCTGAGTGTCCACACATCTTTTTAACATTGGCCACTAAACAGTTTTCTACTCGTGCCTCTAAAGCCTACCAACCTATTTCCAGTTTGCCAGTTCAGTGTCAAAGGGATATGCACTGAACTATGGAGCAGGTTCATAACTAAGTTTGGCTTCTGCCAATATTAGTAACAATATTTACTTAATAAAACATCCAAGAGAAAAAGATGCACTACTAAAATAATGCAAATTCACCCTAAAAATATAGTCTTAAGAAAAGGCAATAAAATACTGGTTCCACAGAAAAACTCTTGTGTTTCTACCCATTTTGCACAAGTCAAGAAGGGAGGAGAAAGAATCAGAAAAGAGAATGCAGAAAGAGACATATCCCAGGATCTGATCCCCGTGTTAATAATCCAAATACACTGCTACTACTTGACACACTCTAGGAACCCTCAGTATACAATTTCATACAGCAGGAATGAATTCACATCTTGTCAGGGAAAAAGAGCAAGGGTCATGTTACTATAAATGAGTAAGACACTCTTTTCCAAGAAACGGGAGATGTGCTTACCCAGCAGCTTTCACTCAACTAGACACCCTCCAGATGGCCAGACTGCAATGCCACACATATGGAGAGTATCAGGTTGGGGCTGTTCTGCTGCCACCCGAAAGTTTCTATTACTCTAACAACAGTCAAATCTAGAATAGCACCAGAAAGTGAGGAAAATGGAAACCTGATCTCCAATTAATTTCTAGAATGCATCACAATCAGGTACTGCCATGACAAGCCAATTAAGCTACAGCATTCGTCTGACATCCATGCCCCAAAACACAGGCAGTTCCTAAACTATCTTCTATTTACAAAATGTGTATCTTGGGGATTCAGTTCAGAGGTGGGTTTCAGCAGGTTCTGACCAGTTCTGGAGAACCGGTAGCAGACATTTTGAGTAGTTCGGAGAACCAGTAGTCAAAATTCTGATTAGCCCCACCCCCATCTATTCTCTGCCTCCCAAGTCCCAGCTGATCAGGAGGAAATGGGGATTTTGCAGTATCCTTCCCCTGGATTGGAGATGGAATGGAGACTTTACAGTATCTTTCCCAAGGAGTGGGGAGGGAATGGAGATTTTACAGTATCCTTTCCCTGCCATGCCCACCATGCCACACCACGCCCACCAAGCCATGCCCACAGAACCGGTAGTAAAAAAATTTGAAACCCACCACTGATCCAGTTAGCCAGTTTGCCGTGGGAGTTGCATGATGTGCATTTTCATCCTAGGCAATCCATTATTTGAGACAAAAACACTAGGATCACATTGATGATTTTGGAGCATATGCAACAATATGGTACGCTTTCCCCACTCCCCAAGTTATTAAAAATATTAAAATTCTCAGAAAATACAAATTAAGAAATTCTTCCATAGGAGTCAGTATTTGTTTTTTGCTTCTAGCCCGTCTTTCTCCTGAAATCTCCTGCTAAGTTGGTTCCTTCAAAAGCAGAGAGGAGACATATAACTTTCTATGGGGCTTTCTGAAGTCAAAAACATTCTATTCTGTGTAGGCTGAGAAACAGCACCGAAAGGGCTTTTACTGTTACTTTGCAAATGTATCTTCTCTTGCCACTATGTAGAATAACGAATAACTGGTAGAAGATCTGTTTGTTTGTTTGTTTGTTTGTTTGTTTAGTTGGTGTATTTAGTTCCTGATATAATGCAAAGAAATGGCTATCCTCTAATTTACAGGATATCATCCCGAGTAAATAAATACCTTGGAAAATATGCACTTTGTACCCTCTGCATCCCCTCCCACACTGCACATCTTATAGGTAGTGTTGGTTCAAATGCTTTCCACCAAGTGGTCCACAAATGAGAAGATCTTTATACTCTGATTTGGTAACCATTAAGATCGGGCATGGCTTTGGGTTCTGTAGGTTTCTTGTCTCCAGAAGGTCTGCACAATGGAGAGAAGAAGAAGAAGAAGAAAAGCAAATGAGCAAATGAAAAGAATCTGTACCTTCTAACAAGAAAAAATCTTTAACTATTTTAGTATCTTAAATTGTTATCATTATCTGCAGAGCTTAGCTAGGTAATCATCCCACATATTCTTCAAGGATACATTCTTAATTACATACATAATTAAAGCAGAGTTCTCAAAGCCTTGACTTGGCAAAAGTATCAGGCTAAGTTTCAATCAACATCAGTATCTCCTCTCCTTCTGTGAGTCATACAATAAGTCAGGAAAAGGCTTGTCATCCTTTTGTTGCTTGAATGGGGGTATGAGACAGACTGGAAGCAGTGCCTGTTTCCTTCTATTAATGAGCTTTCATTATGACAATGAGCTTACAATACAATGCAATGGGCGAAGGAAATTTCTTGCAGATGGCATCGGCTCTTTTTCTGTGATGAGTATTCACAGAAGAGAGGAGTCTGTGCAATGCTTTCCAAGAATATCCATATCTATTCTAACTCAGATTTTTAACAAGCACTCTTGTTGGGAATAACACAATTCAGCAAAGAAAATAATTGCATGTAAGGTAAAGGTGAAGGTAAAGGTTTCCCTGTCCAGTCATTTCCAACTCTAGGGCTTGGTGCTCATCTCCATTTCTTAACCGAGGAAGCCAGCATTGTCCGAAGACATTTCAGTGGTCATGTGGCCAGCATGACTATACGCTGAGGCTGTTACCTTCCCACCAAGGTGGTATCTATTAATCTACTCGCATTTGCATGCTTTCTAACTGCTAGGTGGCCAGGAGCTGAGGCAAGTAATGGCAGCTCACACCATCGTGCAGTGCTCAGGTCTCGAACCCAGACAGCCAGCTTTCCAGCTGACAAGCTCAGCGTCTTTAACCACTGAGCCATTGTGTCCCCTAGAATTGCATGTAAATATGCAAAATATTGCTCTGTTGGAAAGAAGTTATAATTCAGTTAATGGTCATTCTCTAAAATCCACGAGACTGATCATTCAATCATTTAATTTCAAAATGTCATTGGGAGGAATAACCAAACAGGTTGCTTAAAAGCAGAGGGGGGAAAGCAGGTGTGAAGTGCATATACTGAGACAAGAAGAATGATGTAAAATATGTCTCTACTCACATAGGAGAAAAAGTTATGTGCACTTAAATTATAGCACAATCAAGGAAACCAAAAACTATATATAGGCAAAGCAAAGTATTGCAGGCTTACCGCCTTTCTGTCCGGCTATTGCGACGATGTGGACTGGATTGGCTACGTTGTGGGGATGGGACATCCTTTTTCCTATCCTTGGTGGGTGATGGGGGTCCAGAAGCTTTGCTGATCTAGGGAAAGAGAAACTTCATACCTTTAGGCTTTTCTCTTGATACCAAAAATAGGAAGGACCTTGCCGTATTTTTAGCACTGCTTAGGTCTTTTGCATGTTCAAAACACTTCACCAAAATTTTGTGTATAAAAACCCATCTAAATATATCTACAGAAAGAGCAAGTTGCTGCTAATGATCATGCTGATAGGAAGAGAAAATTTGCCAAAGGAACACTTTGAAGATTTAGCCTTAAGAAACATCTTAGAACAATTATTCCTTCCTTCCAGTAGTTAAAACCAGATGTTTTGGTTTTAATTTTTTGAGCCTAAATTATTTAATCTGTTTTTTAATAGTCTTTAACTTTTATATGTCTTTGTATTATTTATGACTGTTCACCGCCCTGAGTCCTTCGGGAGTAGGGCGGTATACAAATATGAAAAAAAATAAAAAATAAATAAAATAAATAAAATAAAAAAATGGCATTGTCTATAACAGGTTTCATCTTCAAGCATGCAAATAAGAGCAAATCAACCAAGTAATGTTTAACGAAGGCAGGGGTGAGCAATCTCAACTATACATGAATTATCTCCCCCCACCCCATATTTTGTAGATCCTAGACCCATGATGGCAAACCTATGGCACGTGTGCCACAGGTGGCACGCGGAGCCATATCGGTGGGCACGCGAGCTCAGCTCTGGCACACATGCGTGTGCTGGCCAGCTGATTATTAGGCTTTCTGGTCCCACCGGAAGTTAGCAAACGGGCCATTTCTGGCTTCCGGAGGGCCTCCGGGAGGGTGGAGAAGGCCATTTTTGCCCTCCCCAGGCTCCTAGAAAGCCTCTGGAGTCGGGGGAGGGTGAAAAACAGGCCTACCCGGCCAACTGTGCCATCGCGTGTCAAAAGCGTGGTGAGTGCGGGAGGGTCACATGTGCATGTGCGGGGGGGGCAGGGCGCATAGAATTATGGGTGTGGGCACACGCACGCATGACCCTCCCACACTCACCACGCTTTTGGCACACGATGGCAAAAAGGTTAGCCATCACTGTCCTAGACGCTCTTCAACTCTAATTGGATGGAATGGATGAAACAGCATTGACCCAAACACCTTTCTTTCTATTCTACCTTCTGAAACAGGTCCTCTCCATTTCAAGATGGGAACTAGACAAAAATGACAGCATAAATCCAAAACAGGCTTAACTGTTATAAAAGAAATAACATCTTCCAAGACTCATGTGTATATGACATTGCCCCCACCTGTTCCAAATCATCAACCCCAATCAGTGTGGTTCCAAAATCATCCCCAGGCACTCACTTAAGAACACTCACCCATACTTTATAAGGGTATATTGAACAATCAGCTCTTCTTTTGCCCCTTCCTCTCACCTTTAGCCTTATGTCACGGGAATGTCTCTCAAGCTCCTTGCGGAAGTCCTCACGGCTCAGCTTCTCCACATCCAAGACGGAATGCTTCCATTCGATCTGCTCTACACTGTGTGGGTCATGGGACACACACTGGCCAAGCTTCACCTTTTTGAGGGTATGCCAGCAGCACCGATATGCCTCTTCATAGTCAAAAATAAGCTCACTCAGTGTGCGGAAGGTGGGAGCTTTGTACATGAGATCCTCCCGTCGACTTATGCCAAGCGCCCCATAGCGGCCCCCAATGTTCACTCCCAGCACGATATGGTGGAAGTAGTTCCCTGAGAAGTAAGTTTTGAAACTGATGGGGAAGCGGTCCAGTGTTGGCATGTGGTTGGTGAGGTAACTATTGATGATGAAATATTCAGGAAATAGGTGGTATAACAAAGAAAAGTAATGAACCATCACTCTATTTTTTTTTTTTTACATATTTTAGGCTTAATTCTTATCTCTTATCAGGTTAAACTAGTACAGGTAGTCTTTGACGTACAACCACAGTTGAGCCCAAAATTTCTGTTAAGTGAAACATTTGTTAAGTGGGTTTTGCCCCATTTTACTACTTTTCTTGCCACAGTTGTTAAGTGAATCACCGCAGTTGATAAATTAGTAACCCGGTTGTTAAGTGAATCTGTTTTTCCCCATTGACTTGGCTTGTCAGAAGGTTGCAAAAGGGGATCACATGACCTTGAGACACAGCAACAGTCATAAATATGAACCAGCTGCCAAGCATCTGAATTTTGATCACATGATCATGAGGATGCTGCAATGGTCGTAACTGTGGAAAATGGTCATAAGTCACATTTTTCAGTGCCGTTGTAACTTTGAATGGTCACTAAACAAATTGTTATAACTCGAGGACTACCTGTATAGCATAGGTTTGGGGAGGTACTTCTAAAAGATCTGGAGGACTATGTTTTTTCTATGTGACAAAATACCAAGCCTATTTTCTCTATCTGTAGATAAATCTCAACTGAGTGATCTCCAGAACCATCCATGCATTTGGATCTGGCTTTGGTAAATCATATTTCTTTATATTAGTCTTCAAGTCTATGAGCTTGGGCAGATCATCTAGCATCATAAAGACAACTCAAAGGTTTATAATACAGGTCCCATAGCGCCTCCTGACAATAATTCTAATGCTAATTCAAACATGTAGTGCAGTGAAAATCCTATTCCAACTGCACAAATGTGTTACAACAAAAGCAAGGGAAAACCTATAATTAAAAGACATACTGGGACATAAGACACAATTCTCTCAAAAGAGGATGTGACTCCTAGATTATTAGTACAATAAAAAAGGAATCTACCAGTCAACTAAAATATTCCTAGTTAGAAAATGAGGGCGTCCCTTGATTTTGCTATTATGCTTCTTGTCTAAAGCAAGAGGAAAATTAAACAGGTCGTTTGCATATCAGAGCATAAGTACAGGAGGATTCAGGTGTTATCTCTGGAAACCGTGTACATCTTCTAAAATAAAAGGATACATTCCTAGGATCACAGCCTCCAAACACTTGATTGGCAGGGCTTCCTTTGTCATTTCTTTGGCCAGATCCATCAGCCTGTGAGACAAATGAAGAGAACAAGCAAGAATATTAATATTTTAAAAGTTTTGTCAGATAATATATAGATGGAGAACAGCCTAAAGAGGAAGAAAAGAGAAAATATGATGGGAAATAACTGCTTAGTCATTCAAGAACAGAAAAGAAGTCATGATGGGTAGTTCCTCTTCACTTCATACTTATCTTTTACTACCAATACTGAATTCAACATTCAGTAAAAAATTGTCTTCCAAACTGGATTAAAGGTTTGGTTTATATTTAGAATAATTTGAGTATAATCATATAACTTTATATGTTTAATCTCTATCATTAAATGTCTCAGGTTAAGAGGCCCAAGTGTGGCATGCAATGGAGGCTTAAACTACATGAATGGCATTGCAATCAGGAATAATAAGCACCTCCACCCATATTTATCACATCAGCTAGACACCAATTATGGCTATGCTGCAAGAGTTCAGAAATGCTGAACTGTACTGAAGGAGATGAAAGGCCTGGGAATCAAGTGTAAATTGCTTCTTTAACAGATTATATAATATTTTTGCTGTGGCTGTTTCATGGATATGCAACTAGAAAAAACTGTGCTCTTTTAGGGTAAGGGTAAGCGTAGGGGTAGCGGTAAGAAAAAGAACTATTCTCAAAATAAATCTGGAAAGACAATACTTACCCAGTCAAAGGCCTGCTTTTCTTGATTTCAAAGAACTGTGTCCCAGTGTGATTGTATCTGGGAATAAGAAGTTAAGGGACGCTTGATTTGGAAGAGCTGCTGGAGGACGGGGGGGGGGGGGCGGGGGAAGAGAAAGCATAAGCAAATTATTAAAAATATTGATAGGTGTCTGTGTGTGTGTGTTGTTTAGAGGGACTACAGTGCATGCAGCAAAAAGTTTACTTTTCTTTCACCAATAATGACCCCCACAAAATTCACTCCAGTTTTCCACCCCAAAATACAGCTAGCAGTCGTAATGACTCTAGCAGCAGCAATGTGCACTCAAACATTCCCCATTTGTTCTCCAGTTCCAGGTTTTCCTCCATGCACTTGGAAAGGAATCAAGTGAAATGCCTTTTGAATGCTGTATTTCTGGTGTAGCAAAGCAAACTTTGAAACAGGTTAACTCTGGCTTGCTTACAACAATGATGACCAAATGTGTAGGGAATAAGCTAAAGGAAATGAATAAGGCAGTAAAGCCACTGGCTCTAATAAACATCAACCTCCTGAAAGAAAGAGAGAGAGGGAGGGAGGGAGGGAGGGAGGGAGGGAGAGAGAGAGAGAGAGAGAGAGAAATTGCCTTGCTTCTCTTTTCATTTCTTGGGGATTCAGATACAGCTGAAAGGATACTGAAGTTCCCTGATATAGCGCTGTATAGCTTCCAGGCGCTCAGGGATGAGAGTGGTTGACTGTAGAGTAGGCACACTTGGTATGGGGTTCTGTAGATAAGAAGGGAGGGAGAAAATGAGATTCAAGATCACCAAGTCAAAGATGAAATTCCATTCATATTCTAGTTGAAAGGAAGGAAACCTGTGGTACTCCAGAGGCAAAATCAACTCCAGAGGCAAATCATGAGGCAACTTCCAGCATCTTTCATCATAACTGCACTGTCTGGACCTACTGGAAGATGTAATTCGTTAATATTAAGATTGCCACAAGGCTGCCTGCCTCAGCCTATTATATAGGTAGTCCTCCCTTTACAGATTGCCTCGTGCAGCAACTGTTTGAAATTACAATGGTGTAAAAAAATAACTTTGTGTTATGATCATCACACTGTCCCATGGTCATTGGGATCACCATTCCTGTGTTTCACAACTGGTCCACATTTATGGCCACTGCAGTATCCCTCAGTCAAGCTGCACACTCAGCTTGTGCCAAGTAGAGTTAATAGAGAATGCAGAAGTAAAACCATAAACTGTGGTCATGTGATATTTTTCACTTAGTGACCACAGCATTTTGCTTAATGACTGACAGGGAAGTAAAGTCATTTGCTGCCACATGATTTTCTGCTTAGCAATGGAATTGCCAGTTCCAGTTGTGATCGCTGAGCAAGGATTACTTGTAGGGCAGTAGGTTAATGATAATAACCTACTAATATCTAATGATAATAACCAGTTAGTAAGCAAAAAAGTCTAATGATGATTTTGTCTATATACTCCTTTGTCTAAGCCAGAACAATGCATCGTAGAAGTGCTATATTACAATTTCATTAATTCTAAGAGGCTTTGGAATTGTGGGAGTTGTAGTTAAACTCATCAGGGTTAGAGGAGCTAAGGATGACTATGATATTTTAACAATACACAAGCAGAAGAGCAAGAATTCGGCAGGGCTCATTTTCTGACAAACATTTAATGTAACGTGTATAGTGTCAGAAAACAAGGTGGAAAGCTTTAAAATATCTGAACATGAGATAGTGGCATTGAGGCATGTATTTATTCTTCAGAACAAAGTACATTAGGCAATTTCTGATGAATGGGAAAATATTCTTCAGTTCTAGTAAGAAACAGTGAAGAGTCTTTCCCAGCAGGGCTGGTCCCAGATATTTGATTTCTTAAGTTGTCTTCTTTCATAGCCAAGTTATTTCAGCATTTGAAGCAGAAAACCCCTTGAGCACCTCCATCTTCTAAGCAGGAAAAACGTATGACAGTCAATTAGTGAGACATCAGCTGCTGCTGTCTCTTTTATATCACCCCAAATTGGCTGCCACTCAACTCTGCTAAAGGTAGAACTAGCCATAACTTCCAGGTAGCAAAGTTAAAACCTTCTTTGCAGAGGTATTTAGAGAAGCAGATCTTGCATTTAGACTAGCCATTCTTTTTACCCTTTTTAAATGGAAGAGAAATTGTCACTGCTTCTCCCCATCTTCTTTGGAGTAGTAGGACATATGTAATCCTACATAATACAATGGAAACCACTTAAAATATGCAGGTCCTATGCTATAATTAGCTTCTCATTTAAACTACTAAGGGTGATGAGGAATTCACTATACTGTACACAGACCTGGGTCTTGAATCCAGAACCCAGACTAAGTTAAAATTTCCATCGTATCAAGAATTTCAGTTCTGTCCCTTAAGAGACAGAGAGGGCAGAGTGAAAGACAATAACTTGTCCCTCTTAACTCCAAGCTAATTGAGATGCTACAGTAACACTTTCTTGTGATACATATTTCCCTGCTACAATTTCTTCCATCAAAATGTATTAATATACAGGTAGTAATTGTTAAAGGGAAGCTTTTTGGGGAAAAGCTATTATTTTGTTTTAAAGACGGTTTGATTGATTATAGCGACACAGCATTGTTAACAATACAGTAAAGATGTTCTGCACTCAACCAACCGCTGAACTCCTACCTGTGCCCTTTCCACATTGCCCTGAAAGCAACTTTCAAAATTATGAGATGCTACAGACAGATTGCCTTACCATAACGTAGTCTATGCATTTGTAGATTCCAAGCCTGTTGATATTTAAAGAAAGGAACGCAAATTTGCGAAGGATAAAGTGGTTACCAGTAGTGGATTGCTCCCGGTTCGATAGAACCAGTAGTAAACCGGTGGGAGGCTCTGCCCACCCACAACATCATCATGGGTGATCTGCGCATGCGCAGAAGCTTCTGCATGTGTGCTCCCACTGCGAACTAGTAGTAAAGGTAAATGGAACCCACCCTTGGTGGTTACACAAAGCTTTTCAGTTATTATACTTGAATGACATTAAGTGTACCTAAAGCCCAGGGGTGGGTTCTAAAAATTTTTACTACCGGTCTGTGGGTGTGGCTTATTTTGTGGGCATTGCTTGATGGTCATGTGACAATTATTTAGGATTTAGCAGAGGTACTGGTTTATCAGGCTTTTAACTGCTTGCAGAGCTGTACCGATCTACTCATGTATTTTTGCAGGCACTGGTCTACCCATTTATTTTTGCAGGCACTGATCTACTCATGTATTTTTGCAGGCACTGGTCTACTCATTTGTTTTCTTTTAACACTGATCAGCTGTAGGGCGGCCCTTTGAAGCCGGGCAGCAAGAGTTTAAACAGTTTTTTCCCTCTAGCCATCAGCTGGGACTGAGGAGGCAGCAATAGATTGGGGGTGGGGCCAAATAAAAGGTAAGAATAATGCGGAGGTGGGGGGGCGTGGGGGAAGAACCGGTTCGGTGACACCATATCATCACAGCTACCGGCTCGGGAGAACCGGGCCGAACCGGGAGAAACCCACCACTAATAAAGCCCATTTAGGAAAATGTAATTCTATTGTATTAGTCTTCTGCAAAAGGTGATCTGGAATGTGTGGGTGTGTTCTGCTCATGCTTAAACATGTAAAGGTGTTCTTGAGAAAAACCTAACTCCTAGAGATTGCATCTTGGTGACATTAGAGAAAACGTTTGTTTATTGCAACTGGAGCCTTCTGTCCATAAAACTGGAAGCCCTGTTAAGTCAGCCTCCCTGATAACAAAAGAGAATTCTATTCAAATTCCAATGAATCTGAATCCATCCAATGTCCTTCCAGATCTTGGCATACAATCTGGAAAATGTGGGAGCAAGGAATGTGTGACTGGGATAATAGGGCAGAACCAGCATATTTGGAAAGTTGAGACCATGTAATGAATAGAAATGTGACCAATTGTTAAACTGCTTTGCATAAGAAGCCAAGCTGGTGAGGTTGCTTTCTGCCACCTGTTGTAGTTCTCCCATCTATTACTCCACTGTTCTTTATCTTTTTTGATATGGGGGAGGGGGGTTTAGAATCAGAAAGGCATATTTTCAGACAAAGTATCAGTAACCATTTTTAAAATAATGCCTGTTCTTAGCTGGGGCAGGGGGTTGGACTAGAAGACCCCCAAAGTCCCTTCCAACTCAGTTATTCTATTCTATTCTAGCTATGTGACACCTGGAAGCATAATTATAAAGAAAATGATATTTCCATTTTCTGCATGGGCATATCAGAAAGCAGCTACCATAGACAACAGCAAGATTTACAACAGTTACATACTTGGAAACGTCCAACAAAAAGACAAAGTTTCCCTGAAATAATTACAATTTAGAATATTTTTGCAGCAAAGATGGAAGGAGTAAAATTGAAATTCTGTACAGCATTCAAGATACCCCAGAAGACATTCCCTATTTATAAGAACTATTTCTAAGAAAATGAAGTTAGATCGGTGCTCTAATCATTACCAACTGGAAAACTATTGGAATATCCTTAATTTTACATCCTAGAAAAACAATGCTGTGGATCATCCAAAACAGATTAGAGACTTATGTGGAAAGGGAGATGACAGATGTTAAAACTGGCTTTAGAAAAGGCCAAGGAACACAAACCATTGCTGATACACACTGGATAATTCAGAAAGTCCAAGAATAACAAAATAAGCTAATGTATGCTTCACTGATTGTACAAAGATCTTTGATGTATGTCAATCAGACCTTGCTCTGGAATCTCTTTAAGAAGATGGGAATGCCTGGACATCTCATTGTCCTCATGTGAAATCAATTCAAGTAATTCACAACTTACAACAGTTCATTTAGTGACCTTTGGAAGTTACAACATCATTGAAAAAAGTGACTTAGGACAGTTTTTCACACTTACAACCATTGCAGTGCTCCCCATGGTCATGTGATCAAAATTTAGATGTGTGGCAACTGACTCATATTTATGATGGTTTCAATGTCCTGAGGTCATTTGATCACCTTTTGCAACCTTCTGACAAGCAAAGTCAATGGCAAAGCCAGTCTCACTTAACAACCGTGTTACTAACTTCACAACTGCCATGATTTATTTAACAACCGTAGCAAGAAAGGTTGTAAAATGGGGGAAAATTCACTTAACTGTCTCGCTTAGCAACAGAAATTTTGGGCTCAATTCTAATTCTAAGTCGAGGACTATCTGTACACAAGTTAGTAAGTCATCCTCTGGGCAGAACATAGTGAAAAAGACTGGCTCTAGGTCAGCAAAAGAGTGAGACAAGGCTGTATATTCTCCCATTATTTATTTACCCTATGTGCAAAATATATAATTGGGTGAAGACATGTCAGTAACTTACACTGTGCCTATGACAGTACTCTGGCTAGAGTATGGCTAAAAATGCAAATAACCCATTAGTTCTAGTCATGAAGGTCAAAGCTGGATGAATTCAGTGACAGCAACTATAGTGGTGCTGCTGAGACACCTAAAGATACAGAGATTGGGACAGGTTGTTCTGTGAAGATCTGTCCATGCAGTTTTAACAGATGACACCAACCTGATGTCACATAATTGATCAAGCTGCAGCACTGCTGTAGTGCAAAGGCTTTCCTAAAGGCAGCATAGTGAGTATACTGTTAATATTCAAACTCCCCCATTTATCTCTTGTAATGCTGACAAAACCACAGTTCGTAATCTATATGTGAATTCCTGTCACTGAGTCAGTAGGCCTGCCAGACACTCATATTTGACTCAGAGTTTTGGGCTGGAACTTATCCAGATGTAAAATGTCTGCAGAACAAAGGATCCTTCCTAGGCTTTGGAAATGTGAAGATCTCATGTTCTGAGCATCCAGATAGCACAGCTAGTATTGCATTTCAAGATATCAAGGAAAGACAAAGCTTGGCAATAATGCACAGGAATAAAATAAACCAAATTCTGGAGCTGCTTTCCTGACTCTGCAATATGGTTTTAAGCAGCGGAAGATACAGACTGTATTTTAGCACTGCTATAACTCTGAAACGCAGCTCTGTTCATTCCAACACACTCTCTTGTTATTTAAAAGGAATCTTTCTGCATTCACTGAAACCTTTCTGAAGACGCTCCATCTGTCCAAGATGAACAAGTGATAACACAGGGCAGTACTGAGGGTGGGGAGCCATGTGCAACATGTTCACCCCTTCTGCAGCAAGCAGCTCATTTGGGCACTGCTGCATGACAGGAAAATTGCTACCAAGTCAGTTACTATAGGCAGAGGCTTTGCCACAAGTCTTTTTGCCTTTGTCCAATGGTAATTCAGCTCATGGAGCCAAATAGTGATGATAACTAAGTTGTTGGAACAGTGATATCATCCCAACAACTTAGTGAAGCTTGTTGGGCTGGCCAACTTAGCAAGGGCACTACAATCCTCATGTTGAGTCTTTTGAGGACAGAGTTCTGAGCCAGAAGACTGGCCCCTAGGCTAAGCACATATTTAAGAACAGTTATTTGAATGAATATCTAACCTGTAGGGCTGCACAATTATCTGCACAATTTAAAAGGGAAGAGGTGATCTGGTGTGCACATGGGCAAGTGTCCCATGTGTGCTTGCACACCCAATGAAGCACCACCTTTTCCTCCTCAAATCCAAAGTAATTCATAATCCAATGTCCTGTAAGTGAAGTCTTTATTAATTGAACAGCTTTCTTCCATTCCGTTTAAAAAAGCATGACTAAAAATGTAATTGCACAAAGGAAGACCAAGAGGCAGATAGATTTATTTTGGTTATTTGAACAGCCTGTTCTCAGTTTCTGCTATCATTTTCAAGGCTAAGCAGGTTATCACATCAATGCATTTTCAAAAAAAGTTCCTTGCTGAAAGCCACCGACATCAACAGGCCTTTGCTATACTTCTCTTTGCAGCAAGTAGACTACATTTTGTCCAGTGTAAGCCAGTTAGTAAAAGCTGGCACAATCCTTATCAAGTGAATTGCACTCTATTTCCAGTTTTAGTAATATACCGCTTTTCATCCACCTTTTGTAAGCTGCTACTTGCCTTTACCCATTTAACCTAATCATCTGGCATTACTGCTCATCATGCACTTTCATAAAAATAAAATTTGAATCACATACTACAACAGTCTTCTCCTCCCGATAGCTTGATCTCAACATGGATAAGTAGAGTCTGGGATTCCCAGAACTGCCAAGGAGCATAGTCAAAAGGCAAAGTTGAAAAGGTTACACTATAGTATTTAATGGAAATAACCCAAATGTTCTTAAACTTTCTTATGCATTTGTTCCTCTTAGCTTTGGCAGTTGGTACAATCTCCACAACACAGTTATACGGGCTCTTAGTTTTTAGTTAGAAGGACTAAATAAGAACTAATTCTAATTTAGAATTCAGATAAAGTCAATCAATTCAAATTATACAGTCAACTTCCGGAAGTAAAGCCCGCCCTTTTGTGTGCTCTGTATAACAAGTTTAGATCATCTCTTCCAGGCTGGAAAGTCAAAAGCGACACTTTTCAAAAGAACAGGAAACTGCCCAAAGAATTGCGATATCCACCTATTATTGACTCAAAATATATCTGGCATGACCTCATAACATGTAAATATCTCCCAAACACTGTAGGTTTAACATGACAAAGAATAACATTAATATACTGTACAACATAGACCTATAGTCAAAAATATCACGTTGTCCAATGTTAAAAGTACTTTTTTTCTAAGGTGCTTTCCTCAGAGCTTCAGATTCTTAAAGCTGGTTATACTGTTTCATACAATTCTTATGGGCATAAATCTTAATACAGTCGGTATTTAGATAGCTGCGAATGATCACGTGAACTCAACTCAGTTCTTTTCCCAGCTCAAGTATTTAAAAAATGTTCAATATGGGACAGTGTCAATAAACTTAAATCACCCCAGCTCAGGTGGATCACTGCTAAAGCCAATGTAGGCACACGCCCATCAAAAAAGAAAGCATACCCAAATGAGATGTTTGCAGGAAGCAGAAGTGGGAAGAATCCATGATATGTACCTCCTGGCATCAGGACTTACATCCTTGTGTCAGGCATCATGACCCAAGTGCCAAATTGACTTTTGCATGATGTTGTCAGGAGGTGTCATTATCTTACGTCATTGTGGTTTGTTATAACCACAGTCCCAACTGCGTACCCTTGTAAAGTATAATTTATATGGATTACTTTGTATAAACTGTTTATATAATTACTTTTAATTAAAAGCACTGCAAGTATACTGCATTCTGTTGAGCTGTGTCTAAAAATGTGGATTCCTTTAATAGATTTGAACAGTCTGGCTATTCTTCCATCTATTAATGAATGAATCCAGCTCAGATACTAACACCTAGCTGACCCTTTTCTAATCTTGAAAAAAAGTTAAGCAGTAACTCATGTTGATTTTAGATAATACTTGGGGTGGAAAACCAGCAGAAAATCTCATGGCAATAGGCTTACTCAAAATCATATTGGAAAAAGATAATGGTAAACGCTTTCATATTTATGCAAATAAATCTACTTGGATATGTGCACTTAGCAAAAACTAAGCTTAACTTAGTGGCACCTTTATGAGTTAAACAGATACATTAGATTATGTTTATGTGGAGATGGATCTCTCCCACTTGCAACCTTAATCTGTGATTCGCATCCATTCATTGTCAGACTCAAATTAGAAAAGCCCTGGCATTGATTTCCATTCCCCCCAACCCCCCCAACCCCAATTTCCCTTTGTTGATTGCTGTCAAGGAAGCAGTTTCTTCCAACATTCTTTTTCGGAGTCCTCTCACCTTGGGTAGATCAGTGGCTCCCCGGATCCTCAGAGCTACTAATTCTCCCTCAGGATGGATCTTGGCCACATGTTTCCACATTCTTTCCCAGGTGGCCTCATTGATGGGAAGCCCTCCACGGTTCACAAAGAAAGGGACTCCTCCATCTCGGAGGTCTTCATCTCCATCTTCTTCTTGCTCTTCTTCTCGCTGGGCCACCCCTTCCCTGGCCTGGGACCTCCGCAGAACAGCAACACCGCCACCACTGCCTTCCACTTTGCCACCTGACATCCCAGCATCCATCAAGCTTGACCTCCTGTTCTTCAGACCCCAGAACCTTTGGGCCCCTTCTTCAGATTGTTTGAGACAGAAGAGCTGCTGCTGAAGACATAGTAGTTAGAGAGTGGAGGCCCTTTAAGACAGACAGACAAAAGGGTGTGGCTCATTCATAAAGGAGGGAGGTGGGGGAAGTGCAACAGCAAGGCTGAGGTTTTGAAATTCTCCAGCCAGGAAAGAATGAAGCTATGTATGCTTTGGGAACTTCAGAATTTCTGCTCAGAAAGAGACCCGCCTAGCTATCTCTCAAGGCTGCAGAGATAAAACAACACCATCCGGAGAAAGAAAAGGAGGGAAGGTGAAGATCTGGGAACACGCAGGACTCACTCACCTAGCTGGACATCATTAGCTGGTGGCCACCAGGTTCGGGAAAGCATCCCAAGAGCAAGAGGGAGATTTGCTAGAAGAGCCGGAGAAAGACGATCTCTTTACCTACCTACCCACCCACCCGCCCCACGCAGCCGGAGAAAAGAGAGGCAGACAAAAGATGAAGCAGGAGGCTACACGCAGGCAGGAGGGCGGGGAGGGGGGCGCGAAGGAGGCGACTTTCCTCGCGTTTCTGGGCGGGGAGGGGGAGTCTCTTCAGGCAGCCAAAGCCCGCCCGCTTCAAGGCAGGTGAACTCAGCACGGGTCACAATGCGCTGCCGCCAGAGAAGGGGAAGGGAGGGCGACGGAAGCCAAGGCTGTTGCTGCTGCCGCCGCCGCCGCCGCCTCTCTGGAAATAGGGGGGACCCCGCGGGGCTCCTTTTTCCCAGGCAAACCCAACAACTGCGCGGGCGAGCCGGAGGGACAAAGGTCGGTTGGCCTCGAGGGAGAGAGGGGTGTAGAAGCTGCTGTTGCAGCTCCCTTGCCGCTTCTGCGAAGAGAATGCTGCGGATGCCAGCGAGCAGAAAAGCCGCTGCAGCTGCGCCAGGGTCGCTGCCTTGGAATTCTCCAGGCGGCGCCTCAGGCCTGAGCTGAAGGAAGCGGGCTCGGCGCTGCGGGGGGTTAGCCTCGCACAGGGTAGCCTCGCTGGGTCTCCCCCTGCTTTCCTCCCACCCACCCCCTCCCGGCGACAGGAATCGAACAGTCCCTGCGCATGCGTGTCTTCCTAGAGGAGGGATAGTTAAAGGGACAGGGACAGAGGGAGCGGGCTGCTGAGCTGCTACCGGTTTGGTTGGGACCAGGATCGCAGCCTGGATGGTTGGGAAGAAGAGGATGTGCGGCGCTCGTTGCCATAGCGCCCTTGCAGGTCACTTATCCTCCCACGCGGCCTTAATGGATGGGTTTGCCGCGAATTGTGAGCTAGGACTGTAGAAAACACTTTGGGGATTTACAGCTCTAAAAAAAAAAAAATCTACTCTGAAAGCCAGTTAAAACTTGTGAATTAAAAAAAAAAGGAAAGGAAAGGAAAACCAACAACCTCCTATGGAGATTCTCAGTCATCCAGGTCATGGTTGTCCCAAAGGTGCTTTTTCAAGAGGCAACTGGACTTCTTGGTTTTTCTTTGAAGACGTTTCACTTCTCATCCAAGAAGCTTCTTTCAGTCCAGTTGTCTCTTGAAAAACAACCTCCTAAAAATTAACAATATGAAGAATGAAGAATAAAATTCAAATATGCACACTGAAAGAAATATTTATATATAAAACAAAAACTTGGGTTTTACAGAACAAACTAAAACTTGACCACATCATGGAGTAATATTAGACCATCCAGGGTCAAAGGCCTAATTTCATGTTTTCCAACCTAGTTCTTCAGTTGTGTACTAGTGTCATTGGAATAAACAACTATATGTAGCCCATAGATCTATTTTTCTTTGATTCCAAATTATTGGAATATAATATAACAGCACATTTACATCCTATTTTAATCGCAGCATATCAAAGGCTTTCTGCACATCTAACAAAACGACCGTTTCCAAATGCAATTAATCTGACATTATCCTAAGCATATCAGCTATAACAGAATAACAGTGTTAGAAAGAACCTTGGGGCCAATTCTGCATATTTTGGGTTTGGCTAGTCTTATTAGGAAAGACCCATTGAAACCAAAGCAGTATTGATTAAAACTAAGCCTCAAAGCTTTAAATAAGTTTACTCTTAAGTCTGGATACGCTTACAATAAGTGCAAAGGGAGTCCTTTCCAGTTTTAAGTCCCTGGCTTTTCATCTTCTATCTATCTGTCTGTCTGTCTGTCTGTCTGTCTGTCTGTCTGTCTGTCTAAATAAATAAATAAATAAATAAATAAATAAATAAATAAATAAGTAAATGTTCATTTGTTCAAAATCTTAAATCTCCGAAAGTTCTTCACCGATTGCTTTGAAATTTTGACACAACGTTGCATTATACGCACATGTTTTTATATACCTACTAATATATAGATGTCACACCTGTGACAGGTAAAAACATGCTTTTTTGAAAAACAGTGCCATCTGTTGGACTTAAAAGCAACACACGCTGTACTAAATATTTTACGATTCCATTTCAATGGTTTCGATTTACGATCCATTTACGATTTTTTTTGTTTTTCCTTTGTTTTTTAGTTCGTGTTTTTTCCTTTTTTAATGTTTTGCAATTTTATATGTTTTTGTTATAACTTTCTTTCTTCTTTTTCAGTGCAATCGATCTGCCCTAGTTCATCCAAATAATGCCTCGCAGAAGATCAAACTTAGGTCGTCGTACTCGCGGAGCAGAAGCAGTGCGACGAGTAATAGCAAATCAAACTGAGGAAGAACGGGCATCAGCAAACGAGCAAAACAGACAAAGAATGGCTCAAATACGTGCCGAGGAAACAGCCGAGAGACGTGCAGCCAGACTTGAGGATGCACGGTTGCGAGCACGGCGATCGCGTTCTGCAGCTTCAGATCTGTTTCGTTCTCAACAGAATAAACACAACAGGCTGAGAGTGGCTGAAAGACGTCAACGAGAAACAGCAGATCAGCGTCAAACACAACTCCGTGCTCAGCAATCACGTGATTACAATCGCCTTGCATTCCGGTACAACCCAGCTGATGATTATAGTTTGAGCCGGCATGTTCTCATCGGCACTATGACTGAAGTGTGTCCTTATTGCAAGGCACGTACTCCAATTGAAAATCGGCGTGTCAATTATCATGTTGCAAAATATCAACCAGCCAAAGCTTTGCAATGGCAAGCGACTTGCAGTAAAAAAATTAATGAGCAACATCGTAGAAGCAACAATCTTGACAGGACCTTTCAAAGTGAAGATGTCCTCATTCCTCGCATTCCTATGATTCCAACGGATATGCCATTTCAATTTAAGAGATTGCAATTCCCAATTTGATTGGCGTTTGCAATCACCATCAACAAAGCTCAGGGCCAATCTTTAGAATTGTGCGGTTTAGATCTAGACACGGATTGTTTCTCACATGGACAATTATATGTTGCATGTTCTAGAATCGGCAAACCAGACAATCTCTATATCTGCACAGACAATGGAACAACAAAAAATATTGTATACCCACAAGCATTGTCAAATTAAACATATTAGAAACATGCGCTTTCTCTTTTCTTTCTTTTCCATTTAACCAGACTGAGCCACAGCAACGCGTGGCTGGGTACAGCTAGTTACAAAATAAAATCCTTTATTCGTGTTTGTGTATATGACCTTTCTTTTTCTCTCTTTTTCCCTTTTTTTAAAAAACAAACTCTCATTTCTTATGTTTAGAAAGTAAAAAAATGCAGTCTAGCTTTGTAATCTCCTATTACCTGTCCTTCAATAATTCTGCATTGCCTTCTCATATAGATACCTCCTCACATGTCATATAAGCACTGTTTTCCTTATTCCTACTTTTGAACTCCTTACTGCTATCACAAGCCATTAATTAGCACATTTTAGTGTACTCTGCCATACTTCTCTACAAGTACATTCATTGCCAGACACTGCCAGTCAGCATTAAATAAATCAAGAGTATCACCTCTTAAATGTTTATCACCTTTTCAAAAGCATTACTAGATTTCAGAATTGCTTACTACTGGATTTAATTTAATCCATTGCCAAAAGATGCCAGCCTCAATCCAATCTTTATAATAAATCCCCGTTACCCTATTGAAAATATATGTAAGCAACAAGAGATTCAGTAATCTTGCTGGATTCTCCTGCCATTTCTTGCTACTGCACTGGACAGCTACAAGCCTACCATTTGCATTCGTGTTTATACAAGCCATGAGCATGGTCTTCTTTCTAGTAGTCACACATATTCTGTTTAACAATGATAAGGGGTTGCAAGCCCCCCCAAATAACTTTCCAAAACACTTTTAATATTTTCCTTTTCTGAAGGGAGAAGCTATGGGAAGTGAAGCACTCAGAAACAAGGGCTCATTCAGCTCATTCCTTGGCCTTTTTTAAATTTATTTCTAAAGCCTTCATTTTGCAGTGATAAATTCTCTTGCTTGCTCTGGTCGTTTTCCTTTTTTATGTTATCTTCTTATAAATCTTAATACATTGTGTTGTTTCCATACATTGATGTCTGTTTATGTTCAAAATTATTAACGTTCTATTATTTAAATAACTCTTTAAATAAAGAGAAAGAAAAATATCTTTCTTTCTGGTCTGATAGTTTTCTTAACACTTATTATCTAAAAGGCTAGGCAGGAGGTTGGTGCTTATATCAGTGCTTATATCAGTCAACAGACTCCTCTTGCAGTAAGTTTTAAGTTACACATGCTTTTCATTGATATTAGATTTCTGAAAGTTAAATATTCTTGAAAGCTACACTCTGAACTGAAGATCAGCAATGTTAATTTTCTCTCTAGAAATCATGATGTCCTTGCGTACTTCATTTCCTAATGACGCATACAAAATCAGCACAATGAATTAGTTTACTTTATTGTCATTGCACCTGGTACAACGAAATTAAGTGCCATCTTCAATGTACATTATAACTATAAAAATAAAACACAAACACACATCCTTCACATTCTATACAATTGAATTGAAAATCTGATATTGCATTAATATTACACTATACAGTAGAATTCAATATAGTTATTGCCCTGGGATAGAAGCTGTTTTTCAGCCTATTTGTCCTTGTTTTTATTATCCTGTACCGTCTGCCAATGATAACAGTTCAAAAAAAGGGTGCCCAGGATGAGATGGGCATCCTCTCTAAGCATTTAAGAATGTTTTGAACTTTATTAAGGCAACAGGAGCTATAAAGCTCTTCCAAAGAGGGGAGAAGGTAACCAATGATCCTCTGGGCAATGATGTTAACCCTCTGGAGTGCTGTCCTATCTGCCACAGTGCAATTGGCAAACCATACACAGGTGCAGTAAGTTAAAATACTTTCTATAGTGCAGCGGTAGAAGGTCACCAGCAGTCAGTTTTAATAATTGTAAACTATAATCCTTACAGATAATAGAGATCAAAAAAGTCTTATCAAGCCAGGGTTGACAAGACATCATCCCTATCATCTCCAATCATGAAGGATTGGATAATATAATTGGTATGCCATTATTAAAATAAAGTGTAGTGTATTGTTTATCTTATTTTATATGGCCACTCATCTCACAGAAAGCAAGTCTGGGCAGTGTACAACATTGCAATAAAGCACCACACATATAAAACAATCAGTATTAAAAAATACGAACCAATGTTAAAAGATAACTTATTATACAAATAAATATACAAACCCTAGGCAAAGAGAGAATAAGAACAGCCAGCTCGGCAATGGAGCCATCTAAGCATATCTCCAATTCCCTGGAAGTTCTAGGCCTAGTGACATAACCAGGTCCTGAAGGACTTCAGAACGTCAAAAGGGATGAATCTTATCTAATTTCTTATAGAAGAATGTTCCATAAGGTGGTGCCATGACACAGATGGCCTGTTGCCTGGATCCCACTAAATGTACAACCCAGGGGTGGGTTCTACTTATCTTTTACTACTGGTTCGCATCGTGCCCGCGTGCACTTCTGCGCATGTGCAGATCACTTCTGATGATGTCCGGATCAGTGGTTGGAGCCTCCCGCCGGTTTTACTACCGGTACTTGTGTACCGGTCCGAACCGGGGGCAACCCACCAGTGGTACAACCCTAGCTGATGGGATCTGTAGCATGTCTTCTCTGGCAGATTTTCTGGGGTGGGCTGATATAATTGGGGAGGGGCAGTCCTTCAGATAACTCAATATTGTGCCATAAATGGCTTTAAAGGTTAAAACCAGCACATTCAATTGGACTTGGCACCAACGGGCAACCAACTTAGCTCACAGAGCAGAGATGTAACATGCACTGTTCTAGGCGCACATATAACTGCCAGCACTGCTGCATTCTGTACCAACAGCATCAACAATATTATTAATAGCAAGGCAGTTGAGAAAATGAATGGTGAGATGTTCCAAGAAAACTGAGTGATGATCATATAAAATAACTTTCCAGGCTTTTTTTCCCATTCAGCAGTAGAATGAGACAATATTTCTTTGTAAAGACTTTTTATGGAAATGTTCTGTAACTTTTCAGTGTTACATTTTATTCTTCTTATTGTAGTTTTAAGAAGAAACTTCTCAGTTTCTTTTGCTCCACATATAGTCATTAGAAAAGGACCTTACTAAGTGCATATTTTCTTCTTTCTTGTTCTTCTGCACTTGAATTTCCAACTTTGCTTTTCTATTATTATTCTAATGCAACCTCAATTTTACTGGATCTTTTCCACCCCTGAAAAAAGTGTACTCTCCCAGATGGAGCTCAACCAAGATTGGCCTTTACCTGAACACTCAAAGCCATCACATTCATCCACCATTTACACCTCTCAAAAATTCCAACTCCTCAGAATACCTGAGACTGTCTACCCCATCCCTTGAGCATTCAGCAGCCCATGAGTGGGCTGGATCTCTGGAAGCTCTCCTGAGCATTTGGGCCATGTCACAACTTTCCCTGTTTAACCGGAGTCAAACAAATATTTAAAAAATATGTAATAAATGTTCCAGTTCTTGAGTCTGAGGGGAAAACAAATGGGTAAGTGTCCAACCCTACCACAGAGGGCAGCTTTCAAATGCTAAAAGGATCCCACAGCGGACAAAACAGATTCATAGCTGTCTCTTCCCAGGCTGACAATGTTCAGCCTGGGAAGAGACAACATCAGAACACCTGTTTGCATATACATTTCTGATCAAGTCATTCCACTTCCTCCTCTTCCCTATTATTATTATTATTATTATTATTATTATTATTATTATTATTATTATTATCTGTACCCGGCCACGAGTTGCTGTGGCTCAGTCTGGTTAAATGGAAAAGAAAGAAAAGAGAAAGCGCACATTTCTAATATGTTTAATTTGACAATGCTTGTGGGTATACAATATTTTTTGTTGTTCCATTGTCTGTGCAGATATAGAGATTGTCTGGTTTGCCAACTCTAGAACACGCAACATATAATTGTCCATGTGAGAAACAATCCGTGTCTAGATCTAAACCGCACAATTCTAAAGATTGGCCCTGAGCTTTGTTGATGGTGACTGCAAACGCCAATCGAATTGGGAATTGCAATCTCTTAAATTGAAATGGCATATCCGTTGGAATCATAGGAATGCGAGGAATGAGGACATCTTCACCTTTGAAAGGTCCTGTCAAGATTGTTGCTTCTACAACGTTGCTCATTAATTTTTTTACTGCAAGCCGCTTGCCATTGCAAAGCTTTGGCTGGTTGATATTTTGCAACATGATAATTGGCACGCCGATTTTCAATTGGAGTACGTGCCTTGCAATAAGGACACACTTCAGTCATAGTGCCGATGAGAACATGCCGGGGTTAGATGCATGGCTAACTGCCTATCTCCATGAGATGGCTTTCATGTAGTTTGCATCCCATATTCTATACCCGTTATTTTGAGCTGTCCATGTGTTAATATCAATTTTTCCCATGAGGTCTCCACAAGCAGGAACAACTTTACTATGAGTACAATCTGATATCCTTTGCCAACCATTTTATCATTAGTGCTATCAGGTGACCCTTGCAGTATAGAATCAATTTAGCATCTATTGGCCACTTGGAGGTGATGGAGGGATGCCTCCCCCTTTCTAGTCCCTGCACATTGTCCTGAGATTACTCTGCTTTGGGTAGAGGGAGGGTGCATCTCTATCAAACTGGGATGCCTCCTATACATGCCAGGTTTCCAAGCTAGAGGGAGGGCAAATAGGTTGGCAATGAGGACAGCCAAAGCCATGCCTAGTTTTCTGCTGGCTCAGATATAGGAGGAGAGCACTTTAACTAAGCCATTGATTCCACTTGGAAACCACTTCTGGACTTTGTGCTTGAGGTGGAAAAATAAATAAAACTTTTACGTTGTGTTTTGCTAATTAGATAGGTTTGTTGAAATGGCTAGTTGGAATTGTAATGTAAAAGTAAAAAGTTGAAGCTATATATTATTATCTTATTCTACTGTGCTAAAAATAGTCAGAAGTCAATACTTTTCTTTCTCCCCCCACTTTCCCCTACACTTCTATTTTTCCTTTCTTACTTTCCCACTATTTTCATTTTTCTTTGTATTTTATTTGTTGATAAAGT